GAATGTCTTCTCCGGTGTACAGCGAAAAGTCTCAGCAGGTTGCCTTATCCTGTCTTCAACTGTCACTGGCCGCCCGCTAAAAGTTGTACGTGGTTCCTATAGGCAATGCCAAAAAATGCTTCTTGGGTAAAGTTTCCTTCCTAAAAACATAACAGGAAAAAGGGATGCCTCTCCTTAAAATAACAGTAACAAAACCCCCCATATGTTTGTAATACAGGCTGTAGGAGTGGCATGGGTAGGACATATAAAGGGAAACAAAACAGAAATTGAAAAAAGTTGTGTGTATCAAAGTAGTAAATAATAGGTATAATTATTTTGGTAAGCTTATATTTTGAAAGCGGGCAACAACAGCAGAATTTATTGATATCAACAAATTTCGAGACAGCTCATATGCTGTTACTTGTCGCTGCATAAGTAAGATAACGAGGACACATAGAGCAGTATTGAATTTCACAGAATTACTGGCAACAGCAAGGAACATGGGTCAGTTTAAAAAATAAACGATAAAGGACAGGACGTTAAGTCAACATATGGAAATTAATGACTGAGGGAAGTTAACGAAAAAAACACTAAGAAATTAAATTAAATGACCAATCACCAGGGCAATTTGAGGTTGGCGACATGGTTAAGCTGCTTGCATAGGTCAGGTTTCTCCCACCATATGAATGCAGCCTCTAAATAGCGCAGGCTCGGTTTGTTCGGACCCGAAAAGTACTCGAAACGCTGTTTCGACGTCGACAGAATGACCGCCGTCTAATAGATGCTTGGTAAAAGAGGACCTGGTTATTCTGTCTTCTTGCTTGAAAAGCCCGTTGCTCTATGTTTCCTCGTTATCTTACTTATGCAGCGACAAGTAACAGCTGATGAGCAGTCTCGAAATTTGTTGATATCAATAAATTCTGCTGTTGCTGCCGCTTTCATTTCGAACCGGGGAAAAATGCGTTAAGGTTATGTTTGTCAGCAAAAAGCGCCACGTAATCTAAATGAGAAATACAAACAATATGGAACAGTAACAGCGAAAAATGTACCACAAAATGACCACAATCATGTGTTGATTGAATATTGAATTTTCAAATTGTAAGTTAAACCATGGAAAATTGGCTTTTTCTCTATTTTTAAAGCCACAGTAACTTGCGATGCATTTCTACACCTGTCAGAGGCAACCGCATCGCTCCAAACAACTCCGTGTATGGAATGAAATGAAGTTTAGCGGAAGGGGAAGTCAAAAGGCTAATCAAATATGAACCGATATTGTAGCACGACAAGCCGAAAAGTAACAGCAAAACGCTAAATATTTTCGTGTGGGTAGTGTTATGGCGGTTAAATGCTTAATACATGCGCAAGGAAACTCACCGAAACATAATGCACGAAAATCAGTGAACTCCACTTTTATATGAAATAATGAAACAAAACAAGCTTACTAAACCCAGACAGGTATTTAATGGTGCATATTAAATTACGATGTGTTTTAAAAGAAATCCGTACCGCCCATGTTTTCGATATAACGCGTCCAGCTGTGCTTGATGAAGCATGTCTATTTACACATATTATAGTGCAGCACGTATGATCTATTTGTCATTAGTATCGTTTCAGGTAGTATTAATTTTAAATCGATGCATTAAAATAAGGATATTCATATGTCTCTGTTAAAATTTATGTAGATAAGTATTAATAGTAAATGCACACTGCAGAAGTGGCGTTCGGTGCAATAAGACTACATTTTCCGATAATTCCGATCCGGAGAATGTATCCGATAAGGGTGATGTTTGAACGGCTGATCTCTAGTTTGTAGAATTCCGTTGTTATGACATGGCAAATTTATCTAAATTTTCCAGCCGCACATTTATAGTAGATGCCTAAACGCGATGTACTAATTTGTTGATTACCTACAGTAGTATCGGTCATCCCTTTTATTTTTGTGTATCTTAGACTGTTATTTGGCCACATGAGACTGAGCTTTATACTGACCGCGCGCTAAACCAATGCCCTAATTAATATACCCATGAAACATCTCAGGATCCAATATGAATTTTAAAAAAATTAAAAGATACCCCTGCAACGGGAATTCTGATCATTGGTCAATAAGATGCTGGTTAAGGCAAACATTGAATTACACTGTTTTTTTTCTTTCAGTAACAAGGAAATAAGTCAGTATCGAAAACTATTTTTCGGTCAATTTCTGAATATTTGTGACTCAAAATTCAGCGATGAAGTTGATTGATAGTTCTTTATTTGCCAGTGCAGGCCGCTCAGTGCATACGCCAAAAAGGTATTGATCAATTTAAAACACCGATACCAATCCTTGATCACATGACCGCAAATAACATAATGAAGAGCCTTATTGGAGAACACGGCTTGAGTCGGATTATTGTCCTCTGGTCACAGCGGAAAGTATGCGGTTAGCGAGGTAGTACTGGGGATCAGATTTTGCAAGCTGCATAATCCAACGTCCTGCAGCAACGATATACTGGTACACAACCTGTCGCCGAAAGAACTTACAAAGCCACAAATACAGGTTCTACAGCTCGAAGCCTCATTCATTATGGTTGCTGCCAAACCCGCTTACAGGATTAAAGCTGTGGAATAAGTCATTAATCAGGCGAAAGCGACGGAGGAACCGTAAAACCTCATTCAACATCCATGTCGAAATTATTACACTAAGAGGACTCAGAGTCGACCGGGGCATCGTCAACATGTATTAGACAGAGGAATCTACTGCAGAAGGCCAAAAACATACGGGGGAGTTGCCAGTTGTATGTTCCATTTGAAGCTTACCGCATCAAAAAGCTGACCAGGGACATTATTTGGAACCTGCTTGCAGTACAGAACTCGGGTGCAATAAGGTTGTCTGACCGACGCATGACGAAAACGCAAGAAATGGCCATGGCCCACTCTTATGGCGTCCCGAATATGCACAAGGGGGGAGGCGCTCGCCTCCAACCCATTTTATCACTGAAAGGCATTCCAACGTACGAACTGGCAAAGTGGTTGTTTCGCTGTCTCAACTTTCTGACCGCTCAACGGAGACCATGGTCCTTTCATCAACAAAATTCTTCGAGAAACCTTAAGGGGTAAGTCTCCCGTCGAGTTGTGTTATAGTTTACTTGGACGATACGTTTCTTTTTAATTCTATCCCCCAGGAACTGGCAGTTGATATCGTCGAACTTTACCTACGAGAACTGTACGATGTGATTGAGAATTGCCTCGGGCATGCCTAAAGCCTACAGATCTTGAAGTTCTGTCTCAAGAAGTACTTCATGTTTGACGGAAAAATCTACAAGCAGATGAAGGGGACACTTCAGGGTTCACCGATTTCGGTAGTCATGGACGAGTTGGGCCTATAACGGTTAAAGTTGTTCGTCTTCCAACACCACAAACTTAATTTCTGGGCGCAATATGTGGATGACACCTTCGTCGTAATTGAACAGGATCAGGTGCTTACGTTCAAGTAACGTCTCAACAGCGTCTAACCAGACAGAGAAATAATGCCGGAAAACTGGCAGACTTCTCAAGAACACGCGGGAGCAATGCGGAGAAATGGAACCTAGTCTCAGGTTGCGGCTTATTCGGTGAGACCCGGCCACACATTCAAATTTCATCAAGCCCAAATTCTCGCTGGAGGGATAAATCATGCGAGTGACGAATTATCCGAGTCGTGGTTAACGGGCCCCCAGTCCATAAATAAATACAACGACCTGCCCAATTCATAGTCGGTGCTGAGGCTCAAGTTGGCCGAACCAAGTCGCAACTCGGGGAACGCACAGACTAACGCGTCATCCAACGCAAACGCCGAGAATCCAGGTAGCCGATCAATCAAAACATCAAATTCCGCCGTGTGATGAAAATTCAGCAGGTCACAGCACGCTCGCCCGTCATCAAGCAGCTGGCACAGAAGCAGGCAATTATTCTTGAAAGGGGAGACGTTAATTGTCATAAGTGTGCAGTATCCTAGTGACTGTATCTTATAAAAAATGTACCTGAGAAGAAGAAGAAGGCTCGATGGCTGGGATAATACGTTTATTCGCCTGACGTTTCGACATCCCTCGCGGACTCATCATCAGAGATATGAGTAGATGAGTATTATGCCAGCGATCCTGTCTTCTTCTTCTCAAGTGCTTCCTGGGACTCGCATGTTCGCTTGTATTAGCATAAACTGATCCTCCCTGTGCATGAATTACGCGTTCCTGTTAATGTCTCTAATGAAGGAGCCACGACGGATTTCGAAACGTCAGACGAAAAAAAATATTGCCCCAGCAATCACCTCTTGTTGTTCTCCGATGTGTTTCTAGACATCAAGATAAGGAGAATATTCAAGTTCCAGGAAGCAGTTCAGA